GTCTGTAAGGAGGAGGAAGAGGACGTTCTCACGGACCAGCAGCTCTGTGACCAGGAGAGGAACTTCAGCTTGGATCAAGAGAACCCAGAGCCACCACAGATTAAAGAGGAGCAGGAGAACCTCTGCATCAGTCAGGACGAGGAGCAGCTTGTGGTCAAGCAGGAGACTGATATCTGCATGGTGACCCTTATCTACGACGACGGAGATCACAGTGAGGATCAAACTCTGTACCTGAATCCTGATGAATCTCAGACTGCAGCAGAGGAGGAGTCCGTGGTCAGCGTGTCGGTTAACAGCGCCGAGGTACAAGAACCGAACACGGGCTACCAGCTTCTCCCTCATTTAGCTGAGAGGCAAGATCACATGGGAGGGAAGCACGGCGGCTCGGTATCGACAGCTAACGCAACGACAAAACCGCAGAAAAGACTGCACAAAAGCAACGATGTTTGTAATCCTGCCATGTTAAAGAACTCCTTAAATGCAGGTCAAAAGTCTTTCAAATGTGAAACTTGTGGAAAAGAATTCCCGTATAAGTCCACGCTGAACAGACACATGACCATACACACAGGAGTGAAGCCATATTCCTGTAGCTTCTGCAGCAAAAGGTTCAATCAGCCATCGAGACTGAAAGCTCATAAAATCATCCACACGGGTGAGAGGCCGTATTCATGCGCCGTCTGCGGGAAAACATTTGGTCATGCAGAGGTATTGAAAAGTCACAAACGAATCCACACAGGCGAGAAGCCGTATTCTTGTAACATCTGCAATAAAAGCTTTGGTTATGCGTCGGCGATGAAAGTTCACAGAAGAATCCACACCGGGGAGAAACCGTACTCCTGCACCGAGTGTGGGAAAGGATTCTTTAAATCGTCCGCATTGAAAACCCATTTACGAGTGCACACGGGTGAAAAGCCATATTCATGCGAAACGTGTGGAAAGTGTCTCAAAAGTAATTACGGCTTGATGGTCCACATGAGGACGCACACTGGTGAGAAGCCGTTTCCCTGCGAAACGTGCGGGAACAGATTCACGGACGCATCGGCTTTAAAAAAGCACCTGAGGAGACACACGGGTGAGAAGCCTCACGTTTGCAGCATGTGTGGGAAAAGTTTTTTTGAGTTGTCGCACTTGAAAAGACACACAAAAGTCCATACAAGTTAAGAGCCGTATTCATGCAGAAGATTTCAGATCTGATTTGTCTTTCGACTTGAGGACCAACACTGGCAAGAAGCCATAATCGATCAGATTTATATATCGCTTCTACTAGGCACTCAGTCGCTTTACACTGTCATTCACACACATTCATCCGGGTGGTGGTAGCTACGGTTGTAGCCACAGCTGCCATTCTGCCCCTCTGACCACCACCTCAAACAATCCATTAGTTCACACCAGTCAAGGTGGTGAAGTGTCTGACACAAGGACACAGCGACCATGACACAGGTTACAGGGTGGAATCGAACCGCCGACCTTCCGACCCGCTCGACCACCTGAGCCACAGCCGCCCAAATCACATCAGTGGAAAGGACACGTGGTTGCATCTCACTGGGCGTTTATTATCACATGCAGGAAAGTGACTTTGTGTTTGGAAAACATGTGCAACAGGATTCTTTTTTCAAAGGCAAAAAACACAAGAACCCACAAAGGCTGCTTTGCCAGCTGTGTTGTTGAAGTTTTCCCATCAAGTGACGGACTAATGACTATAAGCAGCACAGTGACTCCTGTCAGTGACTCTTTTCTGTTTGTAACCATATTTCTGTCACGCTGTTGTAAAATCCCACATCTTCTCACAGTAACTGCATATTTCCTACAGATGTAAGTGATGTACTGCTTAAGCTAGTGTTCTTTTTTTTTGGCGCACACCGCCTCCGTTATCCACGTATATTGTGAACTCTGTTGTTGAACCTTCTCGTTCTTGTCGTGTTGGATCACGATGTTGTGAAAGTCTTTTGCTTCTAAGGATATGTTCTCGCAATTCTGGTCGTTCAGACGGATGTTCAGCAGAATCATTGCAGTGATGAAGATCTGTCACTGAAGCAACATGTGAAATAAAAAGCTGTTCTACCGATTTGTGGCGTGATGATGTCAGAATACCAGATTGTAAACGTGTTTCACGGCTGCAGCTGATCTGCTGGAGGTTGAATCTTATTCGATGCAGCGCCGCAGTTTATTCATACTGAACGAGACGTTGTGAAGCACATCTTGTAAAATAGTTTTGGTTGTCTTCAGATGACTGAACGCCTCAAGAAGGAAAGAGAGGTGGCTGTAATGTATTCAGGTTTATCCTGCTCTATGTTTCTGTGTGCTACGTTCACTAGAGAGGTGTAGTTACTTAAAGCGAAAGATTTTAATTACAGAAACATGTGATGCCTTATATTCTATTAATTATCCATCCATATAATAATAAACAAAAACCTGTACATGGTCTAGCTGCTACAGAAGATGCTGTTTATCCATCGAGGTCTCAGTCATGAGTTTGGTCATGTTTTATGCTTTCAGTTGCCCTGGACGTATTTATTTATTGCATTTAAGAACATTTACAATGCNTGTAAGGATTCAGAACACACAAAGACTTGTATTGAAAAGAGTTTGCCGTCGGCTTTGTTGAACAATCCTCAGTTTCTCCTTTCTGTGATTGTAGTACTAGTTTATTGTAGCACATGGACTATCGACAGTCACTCATTTCTGTTTAGAACAATATTTCTTTAAAAATTAATAGTAATTGTTCCTTTAAATCAGCATCCTCTTATTTCATTATATTCTTGTACACCAGCTCAGTTGAAGTCTATTCTGTGTGAACTCAGTGATTTGTGCCTTAATGAATGTGGGAAATAAAATGTTGTTTTTTTTTCTTCATATATTTCTCTGAACAACAAACCATTTGAACTTCTTTATGTAAGTTTACCAGATTCATACCGAAGTCTGAAGCTACAATCTGTTATCAAGCCTTCAGATGAGGAAGACATTAACAGTAAAAGTAGTCACAGTAAAGTTCCTGACAGACTTCTGACATGTTAGATGTGTTTCAGTGCTGCAGTGCATCTGTTGGGGGTAAAGTTCGTGTATGATTTGATACAGTCTGGTTGTTTAATCAAACTGAAAAGACAGGAAATGGTGGAAGGTATGTGAGTGCATTTATTCAAATGGTGCAACTAAATAAAGCGTTGATTAAAACCCAGATAGATGTGAATTCTTGAACATTTCTATAAAAACAACAACATAAAAAGGTCATGTCTTTGATTTCATATGATGTATACTTGTACAAAACTACATTTCCCAGAGAAAT